GAGCTGTCCCTGTTGCCTCTCCTGCATTAAAAACATTAAAGTCTGAGACTTGAAACGCATCTGAGTCAAAGTGATGACTCAGCCAGCAATCACAACAGGCAAATATTTCACTGGCAGTTTTGACATCAGATTTGACACGACTGGCAACGGCATAAATCCCTGAGGACACCCAGCATTCAGAGTGCAGCACAGAACAGCCTGGATACCATACACTTCTCACAGGGCTGCATGCAGTTTCCTCTGCTTAGAAAATCCTATAGCCATCCCACAGACAGCAGAAGTCCAGCTTGATAAATCAGATGTAGAATACAGACCCAGTCCAGCAAGGATATTGCTGTGTAACAGCTACAAATAATGCCTGAACTATTTCTTGTAACATGTGCCATCTCACACGCTGCAGGCAGCTCCAATAACACTGCTGAAGGGATTTCTAGAAAGTGGGAAGTTTGATATTTAGCATGCAAATCCAGAGGATTTAGGTAAGGATGCACTGGGATTTCTTTTCAGTGGTTCCACGTGAAATCAACTCTGCCCTCAATTTTGACTTCAGCAAGGCTACAGCTTTACTATATGAAGTTTCCAATCAAACAGTGGATAAAAAATAGATAGGGTTACACAGTGCTATGGCACACTGGCACACCAAGCATGTGTAATCCCTTCTGCATATACAGGTTCATTCAGGTTTCACTGCAGGACTCCCATATTCCCCGTGCTTTGCCTGTTTTTCATTAGCATTCCTTGCCACTCTCTTCTGGTCTTTGCTGGAGACTGCCCTACCCAGGGAGTTTGTACCACATAATAATTTAAATCAGGGACATTTTTCCCTAGTTCTCTTACTGAAATTTTTCTATAGGTATAATCTGTACTACACACATGGCTGTAGCAGTTACAAAAATACTCTGAAAGAGTTCAAATTACTAAAAAAATTCTTTTAATAGCATGGAACACCCCTCTCATTAGAGGAGCTGCATTCCATTAGTTAGCCAGCTACACCAATAGTTACCCAAAGCATGAAACAAAACTGAGGTTACCCAAACTCTTTCCATTAATGATGAATGACCACAGTCTACAATTTGCAGGTGTATCCATGTGCAGGGAACATACATCTTTTTGTGTGTGTGTGTCCATGTGAGCGTGCAAGGCAGGCAGAAAGATTAAAAGCAAGCAGTAGCAGCCCATGGGAGTTTCCTAAGGGACTGCTCCCCATATAAGGAATAATAGTTAAGGAAAAGTGAAAAGAAGGTTAAAACCAGACACATATCCATCAACTCAATTAAGACTGGAGGAGAAAAGCTAACAGCTGCCAGGTGGTACAAGGAGCAAATGCTCCTCCAAGGTGGAGCAGCAGAGGAAGCACTGGAGAAGGGACTTGGCTGCCTGTGAATCAATGGGTGGTTCTGGGCTGGCTGAGCTGCTGAGCCACAGCTTCTCAAGGAGTTGTTAATAGGGAACATGGCAACTTAGGAAGTAATGAGGACTTTGTCAATACAGCTGTGGATAAAAGTGGGTAAGGAACCACTTAAGGAAAAACAACATCACACAAATCTGCAGCTACAGATTCTGCGCTTTCCGGTGCTTAAGAAATTACTTGCAATAATTTTGGAAGCATTATAGGGCCTGACAAGCCAAACATAACCACAGGACAGATCTTTTTATTAAGCTAGAAGCAGCAAGCAAGAAAGAAATCTTGACAATAGTACCCTCATCTACACTTCATTTTCTTTTTTTTTTTTAATTCCCAGGAAAGCAAAAGAATCACAGACCTAAATAATCCACAGCCTCCTGCAGGTGGGAGCACCGGAGGAGCACTGCTTTTGTAGGCAACACCCAGCACAGGATAAATGGCCCCAGCACATCCCAGCTAGGTGCAATAGGGAAAGGGGGACCCCACAAAGAGGTCCACCCTCTCCCTGTACCTCCATGCCTGCCAAAATAGCCATCTACTGTGGTATCCAGGGTCAGCAGAACTGGCTTGTGTTGGTGCCAAAAAATCAGAGAGTCTCTACCAAAGTGGCCAGATTGAAGGAATATGAGTTTGGGGTGGGAGGGGATCACACATCCATCTTATGGTTGGGTTTGTCAGCCTTTAGGAAGTGGGGAATATTTTTCAGGTTTTCTAAGCAATTCTGGCCACTCTCCACTCTTCCCCCTCCCATGAAAGCAGCCCCACCTGCACCAAGAGTTTCACTATATAGTCATTTTTCCCTTTTATTTTCTGTAAAGATAAACACTATTAAAAACATACTGCATTCTCGTTTCTTTACCTCCACGAAGAGCAAACACTGAGAAACGCTCCCTAGAAATGAAGTGCCGGATTTATTCAAAGGTAAAAATCCCTTTTTATGTGTCCCCCAAGGCTCTGAGGGAGGAACTGCTTTCTGAGCTGGAAAGTGCTAAGCCAGGCAGCAATGCCACCATACTGTATTCCCCTCCCATATCCAGCCTCTGCAGAAGCACATGTACAGCCTTTGCAGCTTGACCTTGTTCAGTGCCAAAATCCAGGTGGGCTGGAGATGAGTGGGAAGAATGGGATGGCCTCAGGGTGCCACCAAGCCCTGCAAATGCTGGGAGCACCCTTTGGCTGCACCCCACAGCCCTCGCCCCCCTGGGCTTGCACTGTCAGGAAGGAGGGGCCAAGACAGTAGCCAGGTTGGCTTCACAAAGAGCCAAGGACAACCTCTGTTTCATGAAAATACTGCCTGCAGCCAGATCCACACTGTCCTGGCTTCTCTGCACCAGCAGGGACACAGAGAGGCCAAGGATGGGGAAAGATGCTTAGACCTCCTTGCTTCCTTCTGGCCTTCTTACAAAATAAAAACAATTGCTGCAGCTGGAGAGTGAATACAGCAACAGATACCCCACAAATCCCGCAAATATTTTGCATATAAAAGTGTCACGTTTAACAAACTCATCTCCCTGCAATGCACAAAACCCCATCATGGAAACGGAAGCCACCAAAGATAAGTCATGGAACAAAAAGCATGACTGCCTGTAAAAAAACAAAACATGGGAGCTGGGTAGGAAGGCTCCTCAGAGCACTAGAGAGAAGTCAGCCTCACTGTTGTCCTTTCTGAGCAGCACAGGGTGGTTACATCCAGCTGGTGAAACTCCAGAGCTCAGCTCCATGGAAATATCCGGGCTCACACTCAGCCCTGCACTGCTCCCACTCCAGCACTAATGCATGTTTGATTAGGCAGGAGGAGATGTGTCTGCTCGTTCCAGAGGTGACCACAGGCTCCTGGCAGTAACACCGAGTACTTGCTCTGGGGCTCGCCGCAGTCCTTCACTGCCCTGCCAAGGGAAGGCGTCCTGCCAGACGGAGCGCTCAAAATAAAGCGAGGAACAATCGTTCTACATCATCAGTATGTCGAGTGCTCTAACAAAGAGGATGTGTGTTAAGGCAACCTCAGAGAAAGCAAAACTTATTAAAGCAAATGCTGAAAGTGATTTTTCAAATATCCCTGCCCTTTTCACTCCTGTACAGGGAAGCCTGAGGAAATCTTACAAAGCCAGAGGCTCAGCTTTATTCACCCCTATACTTCCTCTGGTTCCAGTGGCATTATTCCCACAGATGGGAACTACTGGTGAGGGTATATTCTAATTTTTTAAATTTTTTTTTTGTGCATACTAACCACTCTTGGACGTGAGTTAGGCCTTCCACAATAGTAAGACTAGATGACAAATCATGAAATCAAAAACAATTAAAAAAAAAAGAGAAAATTCTGGATTCCTGTCATTTCCCTTCTGGTTTTTTTTTTCAAACTTTGGAAATAACAGAACAAAAAGCGACAAACATGCTCACAGAGCGACCCAGACTTGAAAAGAAACAAAATGCCATCCAAAGGCAAATGGCAAAATTCCCAGTAACATCATTAATGCCAGAATTTCATCTTGTATGCTCTTCTGCAACTAATAAAAAAACTATTTCAATTAAGATATCATATTATATACCATTTACAACTACACACACAATGAGACCCTTCAATGCTGCTTTTGAGATGCAGACCTCATCCCGCAACAATAGCCAAGCCCCAGATGTGCAGATCAGAGCCTGGCTCACATGTACACTGCCATACATACTCTGGGTGTAAACGTGGAGCCCAGCCTGACAAACCAGCTTGCATTTGCATCACCACAATACCCAGCCTATGAATTCATATCCAGCACCTTCTAAGCACCAGCCTCACCTCCCATCTCTGTACTGGGGATGCCTGGTTTAGGGCTGGTGGGAGTGTGGCAGGGAAGCAGCAGAGTGTGCCCCAGCACACTGCTGGAGACATGTTTTAAAAGAGGTTTTGCTGGGCTTTTGATGGGAGATGGATTTATTTTCTTGGTCAGCAATCAGCTGTGCTGGGCACCCTGCCTGCCACCTTCAGAGGCATATCCTTCTCACCTTACATCAGACCCTGAGTCAGGACAGGGCCACAGGTGCACCTCCCCAGCCCTGCCCATCCCTGGGGCAGGGACAAGAGCAGCACAGCTGGCACTTACCACATCCCTGGCCAGGGCAGCCCCGAGGTCACCCCTGTGCCCCGTTACTCAGGGTGGCTGGAGCCCAGCATCCTTAATGACTTCTCCCCTCTACACACTACTCTATTCATTTTCCGCTTCCCCAGTCACAGCTGTTGAGCCCTATTAACGCGTAGGGGAAAAAAAACACATTTAAACCCAAACCTGCTAGGCCAGAAATAGAAGTTCTCATTTTCTTTTCCAAAACACAGAATAGCTGAGCAACAACGAAAGGAAAAGGAAATCTCTCCCAAGTGCACATCTGGAACCAATTTGCTGTCTGTAGCCACTGGGTGTCACTTTTGATATATATTGGTTCAGCCACGCAGCAGTTCAGGGAGAGAAGCGGATTTCAAGGAGGCGATCCCAAACCCAAGCAGACTGCTCCGCAGCCTCTCGCGCGCAGGCTGTAATTAGCAATTAGCCAGCCAGGCTGATTTATTAACACAACATCCTCACCACGGCACCCAGCACCGTGCAGGGGCTCTTACCTCTCAGTCTGCAGCGTGACTTTGGAGGGCTCCACGTTGGGGTTTTCCCACTCCATCTGTGGACAGTGCATGAAGTAGCAAAGGGTGTAGAGGGCCTCCGGCTCCCAGTAGAAGGATCCCTGCTTCTGGTGCATCGGTGTCCCGTTGCCGTGCTGCTTGGCATTCAGGGGCTGCAGGTGGTGCATCGCCCGAGACACCAGGTCACCTGGAAAAAAGCAAGAGCCAGGTGAATACCAGGCTGTTCAGCTGCCTCTCACGAGTTGCAAACTGAAAGGCATGCTGCCTTGGTCCGCCCTGCCACTAAACCTCACATGTGCAAAGAGTCGAGGGTAGGACGGGATCCTGGGTATTACTCATCACCAGGCTGAACTTTTCCTGGTGGTTTACGTGGTGTGGTGTGACGTACCCAGGCTGCAGACAAGCCCACAAAGGTCTGCAGGAGACGTGGCGTGGGCAACATCAGGCTGGCCCATCTCAGCACCACCAGGAGAGCTGGAACGCTGAGGCCAGGATCACAGTTACCTACTTAGCAGCCTTTGGAGGATGCTAAAACCCCACAGCCCCACAAAATGATCATGCGAGGTGGCATCAAAAGCTGCATGCTCCTGGTCAGAGGGACAGTGAAACCCAGCCCCTTGGAATGAGGAAAGAGGCAGTCAGGTAACACACAAAGCAATGCAGGAGGATGTGAATGAGCATGCGGGTGAAAAAAAAGGGGGGGAAAAACAGATGTGTTTGCTAAAAGCCAACATATAAAATGTGCAACCAAAATCAATTTTATCAGTCCAGGCTAGACCTGGAAAACTTCATGTTAGCAGAAAAGCAAAACTTATGAAATAGGCTCACTTGGCCCCCCCAGGTTTCCAGAGCACTGAAGATGGACAAAGAGGAAGATGCTCATCGTCACCCCTGCACCAATGTAGTTTGGGGCACTCCATCACAAGGCAGATACAGGAATCCAGCCACAACATGTGGATTGGGATCAGCAAAGCCAGCAAATGAGATTACCAGGCAAACACATGGGCAGGCAGCAGTGCAGACTCTTAGCACAACACTGATTGTAACTAATTAACTAAAGCATCTCTCTCCAAGGCAGTGGATTTTATGTCTATTGACTAGTGACCACTCTATCAAAGGCAGGGAAACAATTGTGGTTTAAACTGCCTTTTTTCACATGTTCAAATCATTTTGAGAGTGCTTTTGGGGGAAATAATGATCTCGAATCAAATCAGTTGGTTTGTTTTAAATGAAAATCTGAGCAAGAGCCCTTTGGGTCATTCTTAAGCTATACAAAAGCCAGTGATGAGAAAAAGAGGACATAATTTTCCACTGTTAAGAAGAAGTCACGCACTTTCTCTTACTTGCTTTTCCCAAGTGACCACTGAGCACTGAAACTTGGAAGGAAAAGTTTAAGATGTACTCCAAGGTAGAAGCATAAAACCAATTGCAGGGGGATAAATAATGAACTCCTGGACAAACTTAAAAACACTCTGACTGTGTGCATGGCTGAACTATGGGTTTTTGCGAAGTCCCACCCCTTTGAACACAACACATCACCTCTCTCCAGCCTGACTCACACAGAAAATGCTACTGCTGCAGTGATAATGGGTACCACGGAGAACAGAAATGTCACACTTAAAAATCTCAGCCCAGTCCTCCAAAAACGTAGCCTTAAAACCATGAAGAGAAGAAAACCACTGGCATGACGAAACTGCAAAGTCCATGATTTCAGGGTTTTGACACAAATTTTTGCTTCACTCTGCAGTATTCTTCTGATTCAAAGCTTTCATTTAAAAATAGCTTCTGTCTTTTCCCTCTGCCAGGAAATTGCCATGATAGGACAAATCTTGCAGCTTTGCATGCTCATAATTTCCAAGAGAAACTATGCATGTGGAAAGTATGCAGGACCAGGTCTGCAGAAGAAACAGATGTGCCTCTGAGATGACTCCCCACTCCTGCACAAGGCAACCAGAAGCAGCAGCAAAGTTTGGGACCTCTTTCACTCAGCCCACTCTAGTCACAGCAGATGTGCACTGCCAACTCTAGCACAGGCCAATTTAACTGCTAGCAACCTTGCTGATAGTAAATTCCTCCTTTTTTCTCCAGAAGGCAAAAAAAATTACATAGAAATGGTGGCTGCAACATCCAGCTTTAACAATAATGGCAAAGGCAGAGGAAAGGGAGACACACACACTAAATTCAGCCTTTTCAGACCCAAGCCACTACAGCAATGAAGAACATGGGTAAAGTTTAGCACACAGCCAGTCTTATTTCTGTGGATTGAGACAGCAAGCACTAAAGAATGCCTCTGACTTCTGTCACAAATGATGAATAAAAATTAAGACTTTGGCCCAGATCCTGACAGCAGCATTACTTCATCCCACTCCTCCCTGAGTGCTGGGGTGATGTGACCCCAATGACACGCCCAGGACCAGAGGAAGCTGCGCAGTGAGTGAGAAGGGAAAGCAGCAGCAAGAATGACGGGGCAGGACAGTCAGCTAAGCATCACTGCTGATGCAAGGCTGGAGGAACTCAAGGCAAAGCTCCAATCCTTATCAATATGACCAGGAGTTCATTCTTTTATGCTGTGTTTCCTCTACTGCTTCCAAAAATACCCAAAACAATTCATACCATTAAAGCTGAACTAATGTTTTTTATATTTAAGTCTCATTTAATTACATTATACCAAGAACTGACTGCTTAGGTCTTTCTTTTGCATTTGTTATGCTTTCTCTAGACACATTTGAAATAATTTCTACATTAACAATTATTGTATCATTTCTTTACCAGTAAGTTGACTGATTTCTTGTGGTTAACTCAAAGCCTAAATGATCAATACCTATAAAACACTGAGCTTCACAGAGAACTGTAAGTAAGCATAAAAAGCCCCATTATACTGGTACCCAACGGGCAGAGTTGTGGAGGCAGGACAGGAATCACTGCTCTGTTTTATTCCACAGCGTCACCTTGAGCAATTCAATACATGCCCTAGTGCCCTTTGCCTCCTTCAGCCGCATCCAGTTACAGCAACAATCCTCCAGGGCAGAGACCGTGCCTTTGCATATCTGTTCTCCAGGATCAGTGCCAAGAAGGCCAAGAAGAAGGTGACAGGCACATGCACACACTGCATGGCAGCACTTAGGCAAACTCTAAAATGTCACACAGTGCAACATCTGGTTCTAGGTGTGTGTGTTGTCTTGAATCCCTACCAGGTTTTGTTCCTTCTATTGTTCCTTGCCGTTACGCTTTTGCTTCTCCATTTCCCTCCTTAGAATGTACCAAGGGTTGAGACTCTCTTTGATTCCAAGGCACCCCAAAGCCCACGGATTTGAAATCAGCTTCACGATGGGACTCACTGGTCTGCTCTCCAGCAATCAGCTAACTCCAGTCTCATCTGGGAAACCCAAACTACACATGCTGCCCTTGACAGCTGTAAAAGCTGTGTTGTATCCAAACAATGAGGGCAACCTTGAATTTATGGCCAAGCACAGAGAGATAAGCCCCCTTCATAAGTCTGTGCTACCCCTTCATCAGTGTCAGCCACCTCTGCTCATCAGGGCTGTGCTCATCACAGCAAAGCTCTGCAAGGGCAGGTTACCTGCTCACAGCACTGCTGCCTTTCCTGCTTCTTTTTTGGCCCTGAAAATATTTCTCGGCTGTATCAGCTGAACACATCTGAAAGGCCAATAAATTCCTCAGTGCATCATTTCCAGAAAGAACACATCTAAAATAAAATTCCCAGCAGCTGCATTGACCTTGTAACTCCATGAATGAGGTTCCTGATGGCTGTGGCATCGTGACCCAAGGGGTTTGGGAGAGATCCCTGCCTCGCCCTTCGCTGATCAAATTTTCACCCTGTACCACCACCTGAAGAATAGACTGGGAAGCTGATCTGCCTGACAAGAGAGCTTGCCAATTTTATATTGTTTTAAAATTAAACTCAATGAAAACTTCCGTAATTTATGCAACATAAGGAAAGTGAGCCAACGCACAAACTGTTTTGCAGGCACAGCCAGGGAGATGAAAACATCACATTGCGCAGGGTAAACACAAGAAAAAAGAAAAAGAACAGCGAAGTGGGGGGACATTTCAGGACATTTTTGTTGCCAAAGCTGGGAAGCCACAACTAGAGGACAGGCTCCCAGAGGGCAGCGAAGGCAGCGGCAAGCCCCAGGCTGACACTGCCTTGCAGCCCTGATTCCGGATGCGGAAAGGCTCCAGGAATGCAGCTCCACAGTGGAGCTTCTCAGCCCAGAGGAGAAAGGCCGTGCCTTACACACCAGCTACCAAAAACCCACGAAACCACCTCTGCACCACAGTGTGTGCAGAGCTGCCACTGCAGCTGCCAGCATCTCACCCTTCCTGTAACTAAAGCGGGCTTGCCCATCGCTGCTGCTGTCAGTTCAGCATGGTTGGTGAGCACAGGGTCCACATACATTTGATTTAAAGATTGAAAATATTACGTAACGTGCATGCTGTGACACGGGCCTGGTTTAAGGCAGCACTGAATATTTAGGGAACAGCTTCACTGACTTCAAGCCACAGATATGATGTGACAGGCAAAGTAAAGCTGCTCCCATCTGCATGGGGGTGCATTACAACATACAACATGCAAGTGGGCAGCTTCAGCCTGAGCCCTCTCTGCAGTGACCATTGAACGCTATTTTTTTTCAAATTGTGTTTAGTTTCAGTAAAAACTATTATCACTGCTTTTACTGTGTTAGAGCCTGGTGTTTAAAGAATAACACATCTGTTCCAAATTTTGTACTGGGGGAGCAGAAGAAGGCAAAAAAGAAGGAAGAGAAAGAAAATGACAGATACCCAATGCCCACGTCTGAGAAGCTTCCTGTGGGGTTTTCTGATCTATCATGATGGACCTGATGATGCCATCCTGCCTGCCTGGGAGCAGGCTAACTATTTTCAGACCGAGCAACTGCCAGAGGCAAAAGTGTATGACACATGTGTATGTACACACAGAGCTGAGTGTGCGCCTGCAGAGCCACAGCCCCGGGGTGAACGACACGGACAGATCCTTACGCAGCTGCTCCTTACCACACCCACCTCATGCTTTTCTTTTTCTAAGAGCATGTTCCAAAACTACCTGAACAACTTAGCAATGATGTCTTTGCACACTGAAACTAAGCCACTCAGTTCTTTGACCTGCGTCTTTCCTTCAAAACCCAGGGGAGAAAGAGGAGCATCTGC